AATTTTCCATTCAAATGGATCCCAAGAAATTATTTGTGAAATGAATTCTGATGAACTACAGGAAACAATCCATGAAATTAATTTTGATGAACCTCAAGAAACCATCCATGAAATTAACTCTAATGAATTTCAAGAAATTATCCATTCAAATGTATCTCAAGAAATTATTTGTGAAATGAATTCTGATGAACTACAGGAAACAATCCATGAAATTAATTTTGATGAACCTCAAGAAACCATCCATAAAATTAATACTCTTATTCCACAAAATAAAATAGAAAAAAGGAGGAATGAGCTTATTGAGCATGTAAAAAACTTGCCTGAGAGCCAGATAATCAATGCTTATACTCTGTTTTCCACAATGACATATAATAAAGGGAACCATTGTGGAGAAATATATTCATCTTATATTCAAAAAAAGGCAAAAGAATTTGTAAATAGCAGCATTTATAAACAATCTTCATCAATGTCATCAATACAAGAAAAAATTAGTGAGATGGAAACTAAAATACATAAAATAGAAAAAGAAAAAGAAAATACTGATCTTCAATTAAGATCCCTCAAAATGAAAGAGGTGAAAGCTAAAGAAACAAAAAAGAATCATGTCTCTAAATTACGTCAATCTATACAAAAAACAAAACAAATTACTCCTAATCAACTTCAGAATGCTATAAAAAAGATGATAAAAGAAAATAAGAAACAATATACACCTGAGTTTGTAGAGCTTGTAACCAAAATCAGTAACACTGGTAGTATTTCCATTTCATCCACTGTTGAATGCACTAGAGCAATTATGCAATTTTTAACAGGTGAGAAACCAGATCATTGGCTTTCAACTGGAACTATTTCACATTGGAATAAAGAAGTTGCTACTTTGTGTCTTCATCAGAATTGTCCTAAAGATACCAAGTCACGTTCTTATTCTTATGGAATAATGTGTGATGAAAGCACATGTGGTGATAAAAAGATATTTTTGATTTGTTTTGCTCATTGGAGTGAGGATAAAAATCAGCCCACAATTACTATTGCCAAGATGGATGATTTAGATAAATGTAATGGAGATATTGTGGCAAAAGCAGTAAAAAAAACATGTGAAGAAAATGAAATTAATCCAAAAAAATGCAATTTTTGGCTTACAGATAATACTGCCTATATGTCTGGTTCCAAATCAGGTGCAGTTGTCAAATTCAACTTGATGTGTCAATCCTCTTCTTACCGAATACCTTGTGGTCTGCATGCATTACAAATTGCATTAGTGAACTTTGAAAATACAGTATTTGGGAAAACAAATTCTCCATCAGGTCTCTCTTTAGAACAACAACACCCACATAACCTCCTCAATTTAACATACCACTTACATGATGGATATAATGATAGTAATAAAGATAGCCCTTTGAATATGAAATCTGACTTGATACGTAAATTATATTGGAATTTACTTCAATATCCTTTAAAATCTTATCAAAAGCCAATCTCAAGTCGTTGGTTGTATCAATTAACAACTGCTCAGCAATATTTAACAAATAAAGATATTCACCAAATATTTGCACAGTGGTTTGTTAATGAATTGGAACTATCAAAAAGTGTTCCTAGTAGTTATCTTAAAAAGTGGAAGGTATTTCTTAATTGGCTTGAGGACTCTAAGTTGAACATTGAAGTAGAATCCATGGTGAGATTTGGAGAAACATTTTATGAAAAAGTCTTTAAATTTTTAACTGGATTTGACACTGTACTTCGAATAGCTAATGAAGATGAAACTAAGTGCTTACCTTTGGGAAACCGTGCACATGAGATGCCAGACCAAGTTTTCATTTGGATAGATGAACTTGAAAAAGCAGCAGAAAATCCAGAATTAATTTTCAAAGAAGAGTTTGAGAATGCTCAGTCCTCATTATCTAATGAAGAATATAACAATCTGAAAAAAAAAATAAAAGATGGAATAAAAAAGGCATTAGACAGTTTTTGCAAATGGATGGGATGCTGGATCCATTTGCCATTAGCAATTTGTAGTTTAGGAGGTGATAATGGTCCAGAATTTGCTTGTGCCATATCTCGTGTGTTCTTTTCTGTTTCCTATAATATAGAAATAAATTTGCATGAAAAAAAATATATAGAATTTCTTGAGAGAGACAAATCAAAAGGTATCAACCAATCTTTTGGACTGTTAGAAGCTCTTCAGGAATAAGACTTTTTAGATGAATTTCAAGAATTTTCTGTATCTGTTGCTTCAAGCCTTCACAAATTTCCACTTCTGTATGATTTTGTGAAATATAGAATTTGGTCTATTGTAGTACACCAACAACAAATCGAAGGCCTGTTTAACAAATATGATATTAAAACACATCCTAATATGAAGAAACCACTGCAAGAATCACGAATGTTGCTTTCTGGTTCCAATAAAATTCAAGTAAAAATTACAAAAGAAAATCTTGCAGCAGTTAGAAAAGAGCAGAGAGAGCAAACGGTAAATTAAATATCTTTTAATGATTAAATTACACAATGAATACAATGAATACTTATTATACATACTTATTATACATACTTTTTTATTTATTTATTTATTTAACAAAGTGTGAGAGTAGCGAGGAGAGTTTTGGAGAAGAAACAGCAAAAGCAATCTTAAGAGAATATTTATAATAATAAGAAAACATTTATAATTATTTATAATTATTTATTATTTATTATTTATAAAATTGATCTGCATTTTTCCCAATAAAAAATCCTTACATATGATTTTTTATATGTGTGGTCAACTATGTTTGTGTTTATTGAAATTTGTAACACCCCAAAAACACAGGTTCTTGAAGATCCTTGGTTACATAAAACACTAAATTCAATTAAAATTCAAGAACTTTTTGATTTAACACCAGTAATGCAAAATTTGCTTGATGAAGAACTTCGTGATTATCTTTCTGTTATTTTAGACGAAGCTTGTGCAGAGAAAAGGAGGGACACAAATCTTATTGATTTGTTAGTAGCTGAGTATAATGGAATAACAGGTAGACAAAAAAAATGTAATAATTGTGGTAAAAGTGCAATAGAAAATTTAAAACAAAAATGTCCTGGTTGTAAAGCAAAATACCAACAATTGCTGAAATCCAACATGAAATATCACAAACAACATTTGAAAAAAATGACAACAAACCTTTAACAATAAAATTTTATGATGTTGAAACAGGAAATTCTGACAAGAACTTAAACCCAATTAGCATTACTCAAAAATCATCACCACAGGAAGGTGTTAAGTTACCTGGCATGCTAATACTTGATCCTTTACCAATTAATCCTAATTCTATTGATAATGTTCGTATGGTGCTTATACATGGGATGGTAATTGTTTTGCCAAAAACGTAATACGTAATTGCGAAATTATTTACGAAATTAATCACGGGTGACGAAATTAATTACGGGTGACGAAATTAATTACGGGTTACGAAACCAATTACGGGTGACGAAATTATTGATTATTGACGAAATTAATTACGGGTGACGAAATTAATTACGGGTTACGAAACTAATTACGCGTGACGAAATTAATTACGGGTGACGAAATTATTGATTATTATTATTGACGAAATTAATTACGGGTGACGAAATTATTTGAAATTAATTACAAGCAACGGAAATTATTCATTGTAAACAAAATTAACTATGGACAATAATTTTTTATTTTATATGCTTTTTACACTTTATAAAGTACTAAATAAAAGTACTCACATAAAATTTAAAATTTTTGTTAACCATAAACAATATCTTGCTTGTCTTTGAAGTAAAAAAAGTCCTTCGTGTGAAAGTATTATTAAAAACATATAACTTGTAAAGTAAAAAATTTCAAAAAACCCTTTTTTCAACCAAAATTTTCAACAAAACAAAAAAATTTTTTTTAATCAACAAGTTCTTGGTCCAACAAATCATCTATATCAAATTCTTTTTCACCAATGATCAATAATTATTGGCTCAATGACAACCTGAACTTCCTGTGTTTTTAATAGTTCTGCTAATTCTTTATCTACTAGATTGAAAAAATTTTCAATTTGCATTTCATTATCATTATTATCAAATTGTCCATTGCTTCCATTATCTATATCAAAAGTTTCTTCATCTTCAATATTTTCTACTTCATCAAAATTTTCCAATTCTTCTTCATCAATTTCATCTAATTCAACTTCATCAGAAAAAATATTTTGCATAGCATTATAAATATCATCATCATTCATATTTTGAACTGCAAATTTCAGCTCAGTTTTGGTATTTGAGACATAATAAGCATGGAGTTTAGAAAGGCTTTGTAATCGTTCCACACTCAACCTAATATTATTTAGTATTAAATTTTATACTAATTTTTAAGTTGGAAATATTTAACAAATAATTACCTTGTCCTTCTTTTATTCATGTACCACCCAAGAACTGAAAATACTCTCTCGCAACCTGCATTTGTTGGAGTTATTAATAAAATTTTCAGAGCAAGTTCTTGTATGTAATTTTCATTTTGTTCTATTAATCTCCACCAACTTTCAATTGAGTAGTATGCAGGTACAAATTCATCTTCATATGGTGATTTTCTTTCACGATAGGCAGCTAGTTGTGCAATTAGTTTTGGTGTAGAATTTGATCCACCACCCATCTTTAACCAAATATTTTTAATGGCCCAGTGAACCACATGACGAAATACAGTTTTCTGAAAACCTTTCCCTATTAAATTAGAAAAAATGAGCAGTTGAATTGCTTAACTTTTTGAATAAATACATAAATGCATACCACGATATTGTGGATGAAGAAGATAAGCCAACATGTACAAATTAAAGTCAAACTGTTTCCATCTTTTATTAAAGGTGGTGATACATTGGTTACGGAAAGTGGATGTTGATTCTGGTAGATTTTTTATTGAAAATGATAATTTTATTAATTGACAAAAACAATCCGCTAAAGTTGTTGACTTCATTTCCAAACACTTCACTGCTTCTTTTATTGGTTTCAATACTTTTTCTAATTCTTCAACATTCATAAAAAATTGTCTTGTTATAATAGCCTTAATATCTTCATTTAGATATTCTGGATTTTCATCTGCAATCTAAAATCAAATGGTTTAATTAATTTAATTTAACTTAATTTAATTGAAATAAAAAATATAATATTAATAACCTTTTTCAAAACATTTTCACATTTGAGGACAGAAGCTGTGCAATCCCAAGCAGTTGTCCACCTTGTTTTGCAATAACTTTTGAAGCCACCACCTTGTATCATACTTTCAATTATTTCTTGTTTTAAATGATAATTTGCTTGGTGAGAAGTTTTAAAAAATCTTACTAATTTCATGCATTTTTTTAAAATTGACCTTGCAAATTCCAATTTACAAATATCTGTGGTAAGAAGATTAATGTGGTGGGAAATGCAACGGATGGGAATTATATTTTCATATTTTTGATGAACTAAATTTTTTGCCAAGACCATGGTGCTAGCATTGTCAGATACCAAACCAGTGAACTTCTCATGACCCCCTACATTTTCAATTACTTCGATTATTTTTTCTGAAAGGAATATACCTGTATGGGATTCTTTTGACAAATTTTGTATCGAATGAACAATTTCTCTCCTGTCTTTTGTAATGATGATAAAGGCGTAAAGAGATTGACCTGATGGACTTGTCCATCCGTCCAGCGCTAAATAAAATTTATACATAATGATGTTAATTAAATAAATAAATAAATAAATAAATATATATATATATACAATTATTACCCAAGGTAAGGTTTGTTTCAACATTCAGCATATCATTAATTTCACCAGTTATAAATGCCAACTCCACATTAAGCATTGATACAGAAAGAGTATGTCTACTTGGGGGGAATAGCCTGGACACAGTGTACATAGCAGATCAATGAAAAATGGATTTTCGACAATATGAAAAGGGATACCACAACAAGCGAAAAATTTCACAATAGCACGATTTGCCATATCTATTTTAGCAGAGTCAATTTTTGTTGATTCAAATTTTTCATAAATTTTTGGTTGTTGGTTAATTTTTTGTTTCTTTTTTTGTTTCTTACTTAAAATTGAATAATTTTTTATAACTTCTAAATAATGTTTTCTTGTTTCGTAAGGTACTTCTTTACAATAAAAAGCAAGATGTTCTCTCATATCATTAGGTTGTGCTAATCTTTTCTCCCAGCCACAAAACTTGCACACTCCACCACAATGACCTTTTATTCTTTCTCCTTTTTCTTCAAAATATTCCCAAACTTCTTCCCTTGGTCGACCAGATCGTTTTTTTGTTTCATTAATTTCGTCTAATTCACCTGAATTACTCATTTTTTGTCCTTAAACTTTTTGGTTCAACATCGACTAGATTAAATTTTGTGATACTTTGAGATAATCAAAATAGATGAGATTGATTATACATGTGGCAGAATATCACTTGACTCAATCAGGTGACTCTTTGATGCAATTAATTGAGTCATATGGAAACATATAAATAATTGAGTCAAGACACAATTAAAAATTGAGATTTTGGAATTGGGTCAAAGCCAAATTAATTTTGACAATATGTATAGATGAGAGATTATTTCAATTTGGTTTTTTAAAAAATTAAATTTAATTTTGACATTTAATGAATGAATGATTTTACATATAAATTAGTGAAATGATTTTAACCCAAAAAAACAACAGGTTAATTGATTAAATTTCAGAGCTTTGCTAATAAGTAAAGGCAGAAATATTTTATTTATTATCATTAATTTAACTTGTAAAAATAAATAAATTCATTGTTTCGCTTATAAAAACACTTTGTAGTCAGAAATTAAACAGTGTGTTTAATTGTCCATTTGGTTGTTGGCATAGAACTGAGGTTTTGTTTATTTGCTTCGGTATAAAGCAAAGTTTTGACATTTGTTAATCAGTGTAGTGTTAACAACGGTTTGCATAGAAAATTTCACAATAGTAATTAATTCGTCACCCCTAATTAATTTCGTCGCCCGTAATTAATTTCGTCACCCGTAATTAATTTCTTAATTACGTTTTTAAAGAGTGAAAGTGGTAATTAATTACGTTAATTACGAATTACGTATTTACCATCCCATGTATAGTCATCGACATATTAATTATCTTGATCGATTAGAAATACCAAATAGATTTTCAATTACGTTAATTACGAATTACGTATTTACCATCCCATGTATAGTCATCGACATATTAATTATCTTGATCGATTAGAAATACCAAATAGATTTTCATGATTTTTGTTACACGAGGATTATTTTCTCACCTATTTATTATAGCAACAAAACCTTTTTCTTGCTTTCTCTGATAAGAAACACCGCAGTAAAAGCAAATTTCTTCAAGTAAAAACTCGGCTAGCACTAAAAGTAATAACAATGAAACAAGTCAACCGGTATTGAAAATAGTGAAAATTGGGTCAGCTGGGCAAGCAAGACTTTTTAGTTCGAAGAATGAAATGAATGATCTTCAAGATTGATCAGTAGGTGCGGTTTGTTTATAATGATATAGAAAAAGTTGGTGGTTAAAACAAGGCAAGGTTAATTGTTAATAAAATACTTGGCAAAAATTTTTTCAACACATACATTTATCTAAAACATCATGTAATTATTTTATTTTATTTAAAAAAATTAATCATTAAGCAAATGTGTAATATAAAAAATTATGAAATTCTTATCTAATGAATGACTATATAAATTGTTTGCTGAACTGTAAATGAAGCAGTGAGACCTCTAAATCCGCGTTTCCTAGTGCTAGATAAATTCATTTTTTGATTAGTTTTATTCATAAAAGTGTAAAGGTTGTCAATTAATATAAATACTATGATCTCGTTCAAAATTTAATACTATGGTTATTGTTGTTATCGTTATCTTTGTTATTGTTATTGTCATCGTGCTCTCAATCTTTTTTTGAACGTAAACATCGTTTTTGGTATTGAAATTTTTCACAAAAAAATTCATTGGTTTGTTGTTGTAATCCTCCTCAACTAGCCTCTCCAATCCTTCAAATTTTGAAACTTAAGTTCAAGCTTCTTTCCATTATGAATTAGCCAAATGATACTTTTCGTCCTTTTGATGTTCAGCCTTTTCAGTTATAGAATCATAATTGTTTTCACCATGAGTTCCTTTGGCATCTACATCAAATAACCAGAATTAGTTATCTGATGAATGGCATGAAAGAATCAGACAATGATGATTTTGCGTTTAAAGCTTTAGTAAATTTCAAAAGGATCTTCAATCGGGAGTTCAAGAAAGTGTATATAGAATGCATTGATCCTTTGATTCTGTGTCAACATGTTCATCATACAATTCTACTCTTTTGAGAAGTATATTGAAGGTTTAGATAGTGGTAAAGCCCATCAGGACTCAAAACTGCAAACAAGAAACGAGATTGTAAAATGCATTTAAAGAATCGATTGTGAAAAAACTTAAACAAAATAACAATGCGAGGAGAATTGATTATACGAGCAACTATATCTTGTAATCATTTCGTTGGGTGAAAATCCTAGAGCAAAAGAATTATTTAGATTTTTTAATAAAGCTGTCGAATTCCTAATCGCTGTGATTTGGCAAAAAGAATATGTTAAATATATTCAAGAGTAATCGTTTTATTGCAAACTTTATATAAATGAGTCAATTTTAACTTGTAGAATAACCTTTAGTTGGTATTTTTTGTTATTTAAATATGAAGCTTTGAACTCATATGCAGTTTTTTTTTCTCTATAACGGCCTTCTGTTTCAGCAAAAAAAAACATTATGAAGAGAGACTGTTATAGACAAATATGAGGTAATTTTAATTGGACCCAGATTCCCGGTCTGTTATAGAGTGAAAACTGTTATAGAATTGTACATTGGGAAAACATATTGCATTGATTTCCCAAGCATTTTGTAAACTAAAGACAATTACTGCAATATTTTATTTTAACTTTTTTAGAATTTAATGAATAAAATTAAATAAGGTACTGACTGACCCATCATTACATGATCTTACAAACAAATTCGCAAAATTTAGGTTGGTGGAAGAGATTAAAGCAACTTTAAAAATTAGTCGCACCTTATTGCAAACTGATGATGCCCGATGCTTCATGAATTTGCTTTGATTATGGATTTTTAAAAGCAATTACAGATGTACCCTTACATACACATTATAAAGTGGAAACTCGCTAGACAAGATGGGAACAACCATTAATATTTGCTTTCTTTTTATTTTTACGAATTAAATTTATTATATTATTATATTATTGCTAACTTGATCAATTCATTATCCTTATTATTATGCTATGTCCAAAAGGCCAACTACAGTCTAAGCTCTCTCTACCGAACCCTCTGTCACTTATATGCAATTTTCCTGCTTTTGTTCTTTATATAGAGAGAAATTAATTATAATAAAAAATTGAATCAACAAAAGGGAAATTCGTTACAAAAAAATTTCACTTGGTGTTCGTTATAAAGAAGTTCGGTATAGAGAGAGCTTAGACTGTAATTAATATATATTACACAGGCACCGATTTGGTTAAATCCAAATTTTGTATAATAAAAAATGACCACTACATCTGAACTTATAGATGGATTAGTTGATATAGATTCAGGTAAGACTTGTTTTTATTTTGACAAGTAGATATAATATTTGAATATTTTTGGAATGAAATAATTCTAACTTTAATTAGTTTGCCTAGATCAAGAAAATACTGAAAATCGATATTCAAAAAACATTGATTACTATCAAAAATACATTGATTTGCTAAAAGAAAACAAAGATTTAGAAACAGAAAAGGAAAGCTATAAGTTTGATTTAACCAAATATCGAGAAATTCTTGAACCAACTTACAATGAAAAAATTAGAAAATTAAAAGAGAAAAATAAAATTATAACCCAAGAGAAAGAATTTTATTTTGATAATTTTACTAAATATCAAAAAGAAATTGAACCGAAATACAAAGAAAAAATCAATAGTTTGACTCAAGATTTATCTAATTGCGAAAGAGAATTGCTTCAATATAAAGAAGCCGAGAGATCTTACAATGCAATAATCATAGATTTAAAAGAAAGGCACGATTATGATAAAGAAAGAATAAATAACTTGGCAAATGATTTAAAACGATTTAAAGATTATGCTGAGGAAAAAACCATCGAACTTGAAACAGATGTTCGTAGCAAAGCTGTTATGATTGAAGCTATTGAAAAATTGAACAGAGAATTACAGGTTGAAAGTGCCAACATAAAAAAGGAAGTCTCATCATATCATTTTTGTTTGAGTGATAAAATATTGACCACACCATCCTATTCAACACCAAGTCAAAATTCAGATAACAACGATTGTAGCAATGATCCAAATAAACGTCAACATTCAGCCAACAACAAGGATCCAGATAATCGTCAAAATTCAGCTAACAGTAATCGCAACAATGATTCATATAAGCGTCAAAGTTCAACTAACAACGATCGTAGCAATGATCCAAATAAGCGTCAACATTCAGCCAACAACAAGGATCCAGATACAGTGTGTTTCAAAAAAAATGGCGCGCATAATGTAAATTCATTTTGAAAATTTTTTTCACATGATCAAAATGATTGGATAACTTGTTTATGTGATAATCAATCCTTGTACATATTTATCACATTGTCTGTCTTTATTTTTTTGACGTGCAAACTTTGTAAAAGATGGTTATTGCAAAATTAGAAGCACAACGTAAAACAATTTTACATTTTTGGATGAATGGTGTCCATTTACCAAAAGAAATACATGAAATATCAAAAATACCCCTTCGTACTATTCAAAGAAATTTAAAAAAATTAAAAGAGACAGGCACTAGGGATGGGGCGGTTCGGTTCGGTTCGGTTCGGTTCTGGTTCCATGGAACCGGTTACAATAGAACCGAACCGAACCGAACCGTTTGAACCGGTTCTTGGAACCGGTTCCAAAATAGATGTAACACAAAATATTATTGCCAAAACTAATTTTCTTTGAAAATTTTCACTACATATAAAATTTTCTTTGAAGGTATTACTTCCTAATATGAAAACAGTTTATGAGATACTATCTAGTCATTGTCCATATTAATATTTAATGTTGGCGATTATTTTTGTTTTGCCAATCACTAAATTGACCAATAGGAATGAAGGAAGGCAAATGAAAATGACAAAAACGGATATTAAAATATCCCGATATGGTGAAGTGGTTTTGACCTCAAATAAATTTAATTATTTAATATTAACAGATGGTCTTTTGGTGAATTGCAAATGGTTTTTTTTTGAATTGTATAAAAAAATGGACCTTTGGCGAATTGCAAAAAAGGCTTTTGACACAAATCATTTTAAATTTTAAAAAATGGACTTTTGGCGTGAATTGTAAAAAGAGTTGTAAAAAATGGTCTGTAAAAGAAGTCTTAACATTATCCTAATAAATTATTTAAATTGTAAAAAATAGACTTATGGCGTGAATTTAAAAAATGATCTTTTGGCGAATTGTAAAAAAAGACTTTTGACATTATCCTAATAAATCATTTAAATTGTAAAAAATAGACTTTTGGCATGAATTGCAAAAAGATTTTTTGAATTGTAAAAAATGGTCTTTTG